TTCTAGGTAAGCATGTTCTCAGTCTCAGCGTGCCTTGGGATTACCTCAGTGACATTTGTAACCGTGTGCTGTCTTTTTGAACTGTTTCATTTGGGATTTTGAAAACAGATGTCTCCCTCCTTTTTAAGGAGTGAATTGCAGCTTGAGTAATAAGTTTTCCTTCATTTGTAACTAATAACTTCTGCTTTGAGATATGTAGCTTGGAACGTCTTTTTAAAAAAAAAATAATTTCAAAGGGTTGTGAGGTCTGTCTAAATATTATTCTTTTAAGGTGTCCTATTTTGACCATCCAAAACTGCAGAGACATCTGAAAACTAGGGCCATTTGACGGCAAATGGTTTTAGCTGGAACAGCAGGCCTGTTTCTGGCACGCAGTGTATTTGACTGTGAACTCCAGCATGGAGACTTGGCTTTCCTTTCAGCTGTACCAGAGCTCCAAATTTATGTAATTCATTTTTTAGACACTGAACCATGCCTATTTGATTGTCTTCCTCTTCTTTTTTTCCCCCTCTTTTACTGCGGTATAAAGAGGGAAGCATATATATATATATATATATATATATAATATATACACACACACACACTGTATATTAATACATGCGGGCTATACTTTAGGGATAAAATGCAATATCCTAACAACAGTATTGGAGCAATTGCTATGGCTCATCTAGTTAGTGCTGTGATATGTTGTTATAATGAAGAGTAATACATTTTTTTACTGACAATGTGCGATTGGGTACCTGGTTATGAAGTAAATACTGCAGTACAGTGGTGAAGCGGAAGAGTAAGATATGCAGTATGGGGCTTTCTTCATATGTAGGTGGGAGGCTCTTGAGAACAGAATCTAATTCTGGTTCTGAAAAGAAAAAATTTAGGTCATTAAAACTGATCAGCTTAAAATACTTGACATATAAATATATTTGGTAGTAAAATAACTGAAAAACTCTTTTTGTTAATGCTGACTTGCAGCCGTGCATTTCTATTAATGTTTGTGGCATCCTACCAAAGCCGAGTATGGACTGGGCGTATGTGCTTCCAGTAGCAACTGCAATGTAGGACCGAGGTCTCAGCAAGCAGAGTTTATTAATCTTTAACCACAGCAAATATGAAGAAGATCGAAGGGACAGTATCACCGTTCTGTTTGGTGTTGAAAAGGAGGAAATGCCATAACTGTTCTCAGCTGGAACATGCTTCTCCCATCTTTAATGGAAAAAAAAAAGAGAAGCAGCATTTGATTGTAGGTGGGCTTTTCTGGGGAAAGATGCATAAAAACTAAGAGTGTTTCTACAGAGGGAAATACACATCTCTGTAGGAAAACAGGTTATACTGATTCGCCTTGGAGCACAGCGCTCTGCAGAAGAGGCAGAGTCATCTCGCGTCTAGGTGCTGTGTCGTTGCCTAGGGGACTCTGCTGGAGCAAACAGCCATTCGTGCTGAGCTTTCAAAAGGCCTCCCTGATGCATGTTTTGAAGGGTGGCCCATATACGTGTTTAAGTGAATATTTAGGCTGCCCTAATTTATGTACAATTTCCATAATAAAGAAAGGGAAAACATAGCTGTCTAATAACTCAGATGTTGGCAACAAAAATGATGATAACTGATTTTGATTTCCTTTTCAATTTGCCATTGACTTTGGCCTGAATTCACTCCACTTAACTGGTAGGCGTGCATAGGTTGGGACTGATTGCTCTGGACTCTCTACAATCAGTGGAGGGAGAGATGTGTCTCCAGGGCTTGAGGTTAGGTATGATGAACCTTTCCTCTTTGTGTAACGCTGGAGAAAATTTCGCTCCCTTTGTGCATGGGAAAAGGGAGACTAACTTTTCCACATAGCTTTTGGGAGATTTAGCGTTCGTTTATCAAGTGCTTTGCTGTCCTGTGAAGAGAGGATTTTTAGAAAAGTGAATTTTTCTTTCTAAATTCCAGCAAGTTCTTACACGGGTGTTTTCAGATCTTTTGAAAACATAGGCAGCAAAACTGTAACTAGAAAAAAATGTTTACTTTTATGTTTTGTGAGAAATTATTCTCAACTGTTCTGTATTGAATGAAAGTTTTTGGCGCATGAATTCTTTTAAACTGTATATTAATACATGCGGGCTATACTTTAGGGATAAAATGCAATATCCTAACAACAGTATTGGAGCAATTGCTATGGCTCATCTAGTTAGTGCTGTGATATGTTGTTATAATGAAGAGTAATACATTTTTTTACTGACAATGTGCGATTGGGTACCTGGTTATGAAGTAAATACTGCAGTACAGTGGTGAAGCGGAAGAGTAAGATATGCAGTATGGGGCTTTCTTCATATGTAGGTGGGAGGCTCTTGAGAACAGAATCTAATTCTGGTTCTGAAAAGAAAAAATTTAGGTCATTAAAACTGATCAGCTTAAAATACTTGACATATAAATATATTTGGTAGTAAAATAACTGAAAAACTCTTTTTGTTAATGCTGACTTGCAGCCGTGCATTTCTATTAATGTTTGTGGCATCCTACCAAAGCCGAGTATGGACTGGGCGTATGTGCTTCCAGTAGCAACTGCAATGTAGGACCGAGGTCTCAGCAAGCAGAGTTTATTAATCTTTAACCACAGCAAATATGAAGAAGATCGAAGGGACAGTATCACCGTTCTGTTTGGTGTTGAAAAGGAGGAAATGCCATAACTGTTCTCAGCTGGAACATGCTTCTCCCATCTTTAATGGAAAAAAAAAAGAGAAGCAGCATTTGATTGTAGGTGGGCTTTTCTGGGGAAAGATGCATAAAAACTAAGAGTGTTTCTACAGAGGGAAATACACATCTCTGTAGGAAAACAGGTTATACTGATTCGCCTTGGAGCACAGCGCTCTGCAGAAGAGGCAGAGTCATCTCGCGTCTAGGTGCTGTGTCGTTGCCTAGGGGACTCTGCTGGAGCAAACAGCCATTCGTGCTGAGCTTTCAAAAGGCCTCCCTGATGCATGTTTTGAAGGGTGGCCCATATACGTGTTTAAGTGAATATTTAGGCTGCCCTAATTTATGTACAATTTCCATAATAAAGAAAGGGAAAACATAGCTGTCTAATAACTCAGATGTTGGCAACAAAAATGATGATAACTGATTTTGATTTCCTTTTCAATTTGCCATTGACTTTGGCCTGAATTCACTCCACTTAACTGGTAGGCGTGCATAGGTTGGGACTGATTGCTCTGGACTCTCTACAATCAGTGGAGGGAGAGATGTGTCTCCAGGGCTTGAGGTTAGGTATGATGAACCTTTCCTCTTTGTGTAACGCTGGAGAAAATTTCGCTCCCTTTGTGCATGGGAAAAGGGAGACTAACTTTTCCACATAGCTTTTGGGAGATTTAGCGTTCGTTTATCAAGTGCTTTGCTGTCCTGTGAAGAGAGGATTTTTAGAAAAGTGAATTTTTCTTTCTAAATTCCAGCAAGTTCTTACACGGGTGTTTTCAGATCTTTTGAAAACATAGGCAGCAAAACTGTAACTAGAAAAAAATGTTTACTTTTATGTTTTGTGAGAAATTATTCTCAACTGTTCTGTATTGAATGAAAGTTTTTGGCGCATGAATTCTTTTAAATGAAAATGCTCATAAAATACAGTTGTTGCAAACACCTTTGAAGTGTTTCAGTTGGAAAATTAACACATTTTTGCCAACTGTAATAAAAGCATGTATTTTCGATAGTGGTCTCTCCTTTACAGTATTCTAAATCATGGAATACAAAGTAACTAATGAATTGCAGTTCATGAAATAAAACGTTCATATCTTGCATGCTTTTCTCTGTTATCTAATGCTAGAAATTAGTTTGCAAGACATAGTCAACATAGCCAGTTATTTGGTCGCAGGTGGGATTTCATGTTTCTGACTGTCTTAGACTGATGCATAGATGTAAACTTTTATACTGTGATAACAGCTGAATTCTTGAAGCTGTTCATAATTGAAGCAGCTTTTATTGACCATCTCTGGCAGCAATTCCTTAAGTTTACAGTTATCACTAATGAATGATTATGTTAAACATGAATTCTCAAGCTAAACACTGAGCCTTGTTTATGATTTTTTTAGAAAAACGAACAAACAAAAAAAGGAAAACGAAATCGTGGTTTTAGATCAGCCTCCTTTAAGTATTTCCTCAGTATTGTTTAACAGCCCTTGACCAAGTGTGAGCAGATACGCAACTGTGCTGTGTGTTGTTGTGGAGTAGGCTAATATATAATGAATGCTCTACCGCTTTTTAACAGGTCTTAGTAATAATTTAAGTATATTGTCTCCTAAAGTACCCAAACTCTCCAAAGTACTGTTCATTAATGGCCTGCATCAACATGAAGAAAGCCTGTAGTGTCCTAATACTGCAGATACCTACTCAAGTACTTAATTGTGCGCTCTGAATTGTCCCATTGAAGTAACCAGAGTTACTTCATCTGTAAAATTAAGCATAAGACTAAGACTCGGCAGCACAGAAACCTAGGAGACTTCCCACTGATTTCAGTGCCCAGGGGAAAGTTAACAGACTCTTCAGAGGTTTTCATTTAGAAAAATGTTTAAATGGGTAGCCACAGTTTAGTGATACAAGGCCTAATCTTGAGCTGTTGCCTGCCATATAAAGCACTGCTGAATACAGTGGAGACCATGTGATAAAATTCAGATCTCCAAATTTTCCCGTTTCCTAGAACTCACAGGCTTATAAAGTGCTACAGAAATTGCAGACTGTTAAGCATCTAAATGTATCTTTCCTAGTATTTTAAATACTGAAATGAGAACTCCCAAGCCACTTGCAAAATCTTGATACCTCATCTTATTTGTATTCCGATCTCTGTTACTAAGTATATAAAAGTTCAGTATACATACCCTGTTTAAATAAATAAATAAATAAAATTACTTATGGAAATTCTAAACTGAAATATTTGCTTTTAAGAGCGGTCACAATGGATAAGTATGTTTTTGTATTTTCTGCATATGTCTACTGTCTGTTTCAATGCAAACAATTTTTTTGTTTTTATAATCACAGGACTATACCTTGACAATGTACTTTCAGCAAGCGTGGAGAGATAAGAGGCTGTCGTATAATGTAATACCTCTAAATCTTACTCTGGACAATAGAGTAGCAGATCAGCTATGGGTTCCTGATACCTATTTTCTGAATGACAAGAAGTCATTTGTACATGGTGTCACTGTGAAGAACAGAATGATCCGTTTGCATCCAGATGGGACAGTCCTTTATGGACTCAGGTCAGTGTGAAACATTTCTAACTCTTCTGTCGTTTACTTTCAGTCTTTCAATCATGACTTCAAATTAAAACCTATTCTTTGCTTTTTTCTTTTCTTCTTTTTTTATTACTGTTTATCCTAACTGATGATATGCCAGAAACAATTTCAACTTAAGTATTTTAAGAATGGATAAAGATTTTTTTGGATAGATTTTGGAGATAAATTGCCATTTTTAGTACAAAGTTATTTGTTTTAAGAGCAGATAAGACTATAAATACTTTTTAAAATGCACATTCTGGATTAAAAGTCATTTTTAGTACTGCTTCCTTAAAGGAATTGAGATAAGAAATATTTAGTGAGGATTGGGGGCGGGGGGGACCTGTATGACAGCTGAATTGATTGTTTATTCAAATGTTATTTTTTATAAATAGTTTTTCTTTGAACCTCAGCTTGGTTTATAGGTTACCCTGATTAAAAAAAAAATCATTTTTCTGATTTTTCACTAAGAGGAGATTTAACTTGAAATGTTTTTTCAGCCTAATATTATCATTTTGTATGACCACAGGTAGAGAAGTGGTAAAATATACAGGTTTTTAGTGACTGGACAAATCAACAGAAGAACTTCACTCTTGAGAAGGCTTGAAAACTAGGGGAAAATGTCTGTTTAGATGACAATAGATGAAAATTCATAGATGAAAATTAATTCCTGTGAAAGGTGATTTAATTGCATTCCAGCAAAAGATGAGTTAATATGGTGTAGGTAACAAAATAGAAAGCATCAGCTAGGTTAAGAAAAAATGGAATAAATTATGTGCTTATTTATTTAGTCATGTCACTTGAACAAACATGCACTGTGAAGTTCACATCTAATTATGATCACCTATTACTAATTAGTGGTCTTGAAAATGTTTGTTGCTTTCAGTTTCTTACTGCATGCACATCTTGATATTAAACATGCAGATGTTTGTGGAAATCTTATCTGTACTGTGAACTACTTAAATTAATGAGATACCTGAGCAAACCTAACCGATCTTCATGTATTTTAATATGATTCAGGCTTAACACTTTTGGCATTCTTCTTAATTGTCATTTGCTGACCTGAAAGTCTCCAGGGTGATCAAGTTTGGCCAGTCGCATATGGCAGGAGGTGCCTGCCTTGGGACAGTAGAGGCTTCCAGCTCTTAGATGGAAAATCTCTTCTCCTTGTGACTGGAAGACAGCAGTCCTGTGCTCTAACCATGAGGCTAGAGGCAGGCTCCGAGCGCCTGCTGTCTAGAAGACAGCAGCAGTACTGGACCATTTCAAACATGACCTTAGTCAACTTAGCTGCCTGTTAGTGGGTGTTTGTCTTGGGTGGAGCTAGTCCTCCCAAGCATATAGTAAATCAGTTTTAATGTCTTTTATGATGTGATAAAGAAAAATCAGGTATATTTTTAACTTGAAGCTCTTTATTTAATGTAATTAGATGCAATATTACTCATATTTTGAGTTTTTCTTTCTTTCCCAAAGTAAATCTTTAGAAAACTGTAATAACAAAATGGCATCCAAAATGTCTCTAGAATAATTCTAATTATTTTTCCAGTTATAGATCTGATGCACAGCCCAAAGTCAAGGTGTTTTAGAAGCATTTTTTTCTGGTTCAATGCAAGAATTTTGAATGTGAATAGCATCCTCGTGTATCTAACAATCTAGTATTTACAATTATAAATATATTTGTGATTATCAGTGCTTACATTCCTTTTAAGATTCTGCTTGGTCCTTTTTGGGTGCTCTCTTTGCCCTGTGAGCTGTTAAAAGATGAATGAAGGACATGGATCCCACCTTCATTCCCTTGTTATATTGACATGAACTGTAGACTGAGGGCTGTAGCAAGGTGGCTGTCACCCCATTTCTTCCCCTACCTATTGCAAAAGACGAGGGGGCTGTGACTGTGGTTGGCCTCGCTGCAGCTGGGTCCTGAGGGAGAGCGCTGGGATGTTTCCCAGGGGAGCAGCGTGTTCTGGTCTTGCCTCCACGGGACCTGAACAGGAACCTAACGAGATGAGGGTACGGCAAGAAAGGGTCCAGCTTTTATCCATACAATAGTAGTAGAGCCCATTTAGTCTTCCAGGGCAAGAGTGAGTTAGTAGCTTCTAATCTGGGGAAGACTGTCAGGATGAAGTTATCAGCTGTAGTAATAAAACAATGATTATTCCTCTGTCATGAAACAGGGACCTAGTGATGTCAGTTTAATAATAAAGTTTACTTTGGTCATTGTACCTTTTGCATAAAACCTGTGGGGAGGGTCCCTGAGGTTATGTGCTGCTTTTGAAAAGATACACTTAAGGAATGGACATGGAAAATAGGTCACCATATAGTTTCCATCTTCTTATATAAATTTACATATATATGTGTGTGTGTGTGTATGTGTGTGTATATATATATATGTGTGTGTGTGTATGTGTGTATATATAGGGGGGTGTGTGTGTATACATGTACACATGTGCCCATGCACACACGCACAGTTTTCCTGAGTTTTAGAGGAAACGTAACTCTTTATTCTTCAAGTTAAATAAAAGTAAATGTTGTTAAGGGTTTTTCTGTAGCTTTTGTGACATCTTGAGGTTGGAAGGAAAATGAAAACGTTTAAAGGCACAATAGGTAGTGGGTCTGGATGAAGAATTTTTTTCTTTGATGGTCTCAGTTATTTGGAAAAGTAAGTCTGAGAGAAATCTTGACTGCATCTATGTATGTTTGAGTTTGTATTATATATAACACGATGTTAAACTGTTAGAGTAAGAACGTGTTGCAAAATCTGTGCTACCAAAACTTAAAGCTAGGAGAACATGTAATTCCTTTTTATTTCTCTCCCAGTCCGTGCATCTGGGATGTAGTCCATCTCAAGAAGGACTGCAGAGGGGATTGCTGATGGCAAGAGACAAACTTAACTATCAAAATACTTCTCTTGTGGTCGGATCATTACCCGCAAAAAAGCCCTTCGTATAGGCCCTGCTTATTAGTGATCCATGGGCAAATTTTCTTAATAAAATGCAGAAAATCCTTCTTCCTCATCTGACTCATTTGAGAACAATTTGGAAAGGCCTTCCTGGCTAAAATATGTCTTTCAAACAGTGGTGGACAGGTCTCGTTAGCAAATGTATACATGAGTAAAACAACAGAAGTACATTACTAGCCATGTTCTGCTTTGCCTTCACTAAGCCAAGTGGCGATCAATGTTATCATTCTAACGTTAAGATTAAATTCTAAAATCTAAATTAATTCAGTGTTAATGTGATTAAAGTGTCTGTAACAGTGATGTATTTAACATCTGTTTATTTTTAATTTTCACTTATCTTTTAAAATACTGTATATTACTACTGTTTGGAAAATCACTGTTATTATTAATGCTGCATTAATTTACTTCATCTTATACTTGCAGAGGCATATTCTCACTTTGATGTGCATACTGCTAAATGGAGATTGCTTTAAATAATCAGTCTTATGTTCCTTTTCTCTTGCCTCTCCATACATACCTTTACGTGTGTGTGTGTGTGTGTTTGTTTTATATGCACACACGTATGCTTCTATGAATTCAAGTTTACTGACCTGGATTGCCATAAGTAAACGCATGGAACCGCAGCTGATCTTATATTATCGGAGTAGGCCTAATTTAAAATGTGTAAATGTAGTTGTGCTATTCTTTTAAAATCCTATAGTTGAATTTCTGTTTTGGATATAGTAAATGGTGATGCTTTGATGATGTTCGTCTTTGTTTTTCCTAGAAGAGCGCGTAGACGGTATGTGAACAGATGGATGTCAGATTCCGTTAGATTTAACATTGTTAAGGTAAATTTCAGGAAGGACTAGGAGGCAGTTTCATAAGCACCTGGCTTATCCTGTCACTAAAAGAAGAGAAACAAAAAAGGCTAGTAATGAGTGTAGACATCTATACTGCAGTTGTTATGTCCTCGTAGCCTGTCCTATTCACTGCTATAAGGCATTAGTTAAGGGCGTAACTGAATTTTGACCAATGGTTTATACAGTTTATGGCATACTTTTAGTTTTAGAGGGACTTTTATTTCTGAGGGATACTTGCCAGTTATTTATGTTTTGAGAAAATATAGGAAAAGGATTTTTTTCTTCCTTTTCAAGTTACAGTATGGTATTTGCAAACACGATTGGACTGCTTTTCCTATTTAAAAACCTTTGTATTTCATTTTCCATCTGAAAAAAGATTCTTCTTTGCTGTCAGATAAGTCAAGAGCAGGACATTCAATAGATTATGCACTTAAATCAGCAAATGAAAGGAAATCACAATATACAGGCTTAAATTTAAGTCATCACAGTGAAAATGATTATCTATTAGTAGATAAAATGATTTGCAATAGGATGTTAGTGACTTTGACAGGGTGTGCAGAGTCGTGTAGTAGACTCTGAGAGCCAAGATTCAAATCTAGAAAAACTAATAGTTGACAGTAGACTTAGCAAAGCTGAAACAAGACATGCAACCAGAACATATGTCATGAGAAGATACAGCTTAAGCTAAATTTCCATGCATTAAAGTATCAGATTTATATAGTAAAAACAACAGAAATAGTGGTATGGTAGGTAAGGTTTGTTGCTTTATAAATGAATATATTTTCCCCTTGACATTTGACACCAAATTTGTCTTAAAATGCGTTTTCAGTGACAGGAAATTGTGTCATGTTTTGGCTCATTCTCTGCAGTTAAGGGCAATAATCTGTTCCCTGATTTTGCAGCCTGTGAAACTAGTGGAATTTGTATGCGTTTCTCAGGGTTGGTGTGGAAAATCCTGAGGAGGGTGACCAGTAAGACCCTGCTATTGTTTGCCACTTTGCATCTGCCACTTCTTGCGTGTCTGCTTCTTAGGGTGCTCTTAATGTGACTCTCTTCTCTGCTGGAAGAGTGTGTTTGGGTTTTATATGTGAGGATAAAGGAGGAAGTGAAGTACAGTATACTAAGATTAAATAAAGTTGAAGAAGGAACTGAAGACAAAGATCTTTCTCATGGTTTTTCACTAT